CAAGAGTGGGAGCAGAACAGGTAGATTGACAAAGTACACTGCCGAGCAGAGCATCAGGCGAGACAGGAAAGGTCTGTAGCACCATGTAGGTCACCTCCCTGACTGGGATGGAACTCGCTGGGAAGTGACTACATCTAGCTTTACAAGCGTTGCATTGCGCTCCAACCCAATCCGTTGCACCACCTGAGAGGGCCCAGCACTTTTATTTTTTTTAAAGATTTATTCAAAATGTTAAAATCAAAATTAAGCATATAGTTTATACACAAAGTGAGCACACCTCATTTTTTTTGTAGCACACTACAAAAAAAAAAAAGATTTATTTATTCAGGGCCCTCCTGGTAGCACAGCGGGTCAGGACGCAGCACCACAAGCTCACGCAACTGCTTCAGTGTGAGTTCAATCCTCCACCCAGAAGGTGACCCACACAGCGCAGCAGACCTCTCCTGGCCTGCCCTCTGCTCTCCTCAGTAGTGTATTTCAATAGATCTGTCTGTTCTGCCCCCCACTCTGTCTCTGGTGAATCCTCTCACCACTCCTGCACCTCTGACCTGTACCTCAGTTCTGTATGCATAAATAAATAAATCCTTTTTATAACAAATCTTAAAAAAAAAAAAAAAGAAATATAATACATCTTCCCATTTTCAACCCAAATTTCACCCCAGGTTTGAGTCAGACACCAAAGACAGAACAAAATAAGATCTAGGCCCTGATCACAAAGAACTCACAGTCTAGCAAAGACAGTATCACAATTTATTAGTTAAGATTCTCTTTGTCTATTGCAAGCAGAGGCACTGATACTGATACAATGACAAGCAAAAGAGAAAAATATTACAATGAGGTTAGGGACCCAGGGCATCCTCAGAAGACAGGAGGGCAGACTTAGAAAACAAGCAGGCACAAGGGCAGTGCCAAAGTAGCAAGGAACAGCAGCTGCTGCTATCAGTAGCACCAAACAACACAGCTGGGATTCAGTCCTAATATCCCTTTGTCTTTGAGTCACTCACTCAAGAAGCAAAATCCTAGTCAGGAGCTGCTGTTGATTGGTCAATATCAGGTCACATGGATTAGTTCAGTCTGCCAGGGAATGAAAAAAGCAATATGCCTTTAAGGGCATCTCACCTGTCCCCACAAACCCACACACCAAATGGGAAGAAAGGG